TATTTCTTTTTCTTTATTATTATTATTATACTTAATTTTTCGAATATTTCCACAAAATAGATATCCGAAGAATCAAAAGGTGGAATGGTAGCATTTATAATTTTTTGGTGTTTATTAGTTATAGATTTGATCTATTTGATTACAGCCCATGGAAACACTGCTGCTATTCTAGGATGGGCATTTTGGCTATTTTTTAGTGAGTTTTCCTTACACTTTTTAATATTTTTGTTATATTTGTTTTATCACAATAAGTAAATAACACATTTTTAATGTTGCTATTGTTTAGCGATACTTTTTTTCATAATATCATTAGTAAGCTCCTTCACATTTATATTATTCGTTTTCATCAATTTGACTAATAAACTTTTAAAATTACATTTTAGGCGGCTTTGGTATTTGCGATACTAGCATTAAGCAATTTTGGAAAAGGATTAAAAGCATATGGTATTAATTTTTTTTAATCTCTATTTATTAAATTTCTTATTTTTCTTTTTTTATTAATACATTGTCAACCTTTTTTTTTTTTTTTTAAATCAAAGTTAATCATTTATCGCTACAAGATTATGAATCATCTCTATTTTTACAGAAAGCGAAAATCATTGATGCTGAAAATAATCGTGATATGCGCACATGGCGTTCTGAAGAATAAATTAACGACTAAATGTTAGATTTTTTTAAATAAACATTTTCTATTTTTAACATTATAATGAGTTAGTAACATCAAAGACACAAAATTTGATTTTAAATATTTTTTGTATTATTTCTTCGTTTTGAAGGTTGTATATGTATTTTTTTTTTTATTTTGAAGTTCAATATTTGATAAATATTTAAATGAATTAATAGACAATCGTCGCAAAAACTAATGAATTTGAAAATGATAGTGTCTATTATACGACATATTGAAATTTAATATATGTCAAGACGGGTTTAATGCATCTAGGTTCAAATCCGAGAGTGAGGTCTCTGTTTTTAGTATTAGTTTTTTAATACAGTAATTAATGCGCAAAGTAAAAATATTCACCTTTAATAACCTAACCCTTAACTTTAATTTAATCTTTAAAGTTTAATTTTAATTCAAAACTTAAGGCAAAATTTTCTACAGTATTGTCGCGAAATAACGCCTGCGCATTATTTGAGTATATGCGTGTTATTTAACGTACGCGTATGTATAGTATTTTTGAACCTTTTCAATTTACTATGTACTGTACCTACTTCCAGTCGGGCTGACACCTTATACAGGGTGCACGTTATTTCGGGACGCGTATGGTCATTCAAATCATTTTCTAAATAACTCCCATGCCCATTATTTCGCGGCAGTATAATAATAATAATTCAAAAATATATAATGATTAATTTCACCTCCAGTGAATTCTCTTTGAATTACAGTAGTTTCAGACATTATCAAGTTATCGATTAGCATTACCGTTATGTACAGAATTATAGTGTCAGTAATCGAGGCCTACTACAGTATCGATCGACTAAGTCGATGTGGCTTAGTAGACCAAATAATACGTAAAAGATCGACCTAGATGTGATTTTTGACTAACGTAAAATAAATAATTTATTTGCTAAGACATTCTTCGATAATTTGTCTTTTTTTGGGTTGTCCTTTTCTTGCGTGCTTTAATTGAATATGGTTCTGTGTTTTCTTTTGTTGTACGAGACTTTCTTCGTTGAACTGATGAAGACTGCACCTTAATTTTTGAATTGCTTTGAATCGATTCATTTTGCGGTGTAGAACTCTGTTGAAAGAAATAAATAGCCAGTTTACTCGCTGATATAGATTCAAATTTTTTTGTACTATTAAAATGCTCGATTCCACTAAGAAGCTGATGATTGTTTTATATCATTTAAAATGCGGCTAAAAAAGGTTTCAACTGAAATTATACGAATATTTATATCATCTTCATAATGCTAATAACACAATGCGATTAATAAAAAATTTAATTTTATAATAAATTGCTTTTTTTTTTTTTTTTTTGGAAAACTCCTATTTCTATGAAAATTTTACTTTCATGGTGGAATTAGGCGTTCCTTTTTTTTTTTTTTTTACAAAACTTATTTTGAGAGCCTTCGGTGATTACTTTAGTATTGAATTCATTTCCATTAGACAAATTTAAATTTTATTGATCTTATTTATTATTATGTTCAAATGTTGATACAATTGGAGCATGTAAAAGTGCGTAAAATGTTGGATTTTGCACAATGGTTCCTTTTAAGCATTCAAAATTATTTAGTATATCGATATATATATATATACGGTACATATATAACTAATAATTAAAATAAAAACTCTTTCCCGTACATCACTAAAATTAAGTAAACAAAAAAGTAAAAATCGAAAAAA